ACTCTTTGATGCAAAGAAACTGTTGTGTTTAGCTTAGTCCCAATGACCTCACCTCGCGTATTAAAAGGCGGCATAGTACGACTACGGGAATGAGATGTTTCTGTGTATTTCCTCCACGTTACACTTCCTGGTTCGAAGGCTTAACTAATCTACTAAAAAGCAAGCTTCAGATAGCCCAGAACAAGTTCATTAGGGTGGTGATAAATCTGAGCCCAGGTACTCATATTGGTAGGAGTCAGTTTCAGGAGCTCAACTGGCTGCCCGTCGAGTCAAAGGTCACACATACTAGGCTTAGTCTGGTACATAGGATCATCCATGGGGCAGCTCCTAGGCATTTATCTGACTACTTTCCCCATGTTAGAGATTCACACAACCATAAACACTAGAGCTAGGATAGCTAGCGTGTGTGTGTATGTGTGTGTGTGTGTGTGTGTGTGTGTGTGTGTCTCTGTGTGTGTATAGATTCAGAAGCCTGACAGGGAAAGGTACTTTTTTACACTAAGGAGCCTCTAAGTGGAATAGTCTGCCTCTGTTAAAACTATTCCCACTCTGAGTAAGATTTAAAAGGAAGGTGAAATCCTGGTTATTGGTTAGTGTGCCTCTGTGAGCAATCCCTCCTAGCCCATTGATGATGACCAAGGCGTTCCTTTGTCTATAGTATGTATCTGTGTTTTTATGACTAAATAATCAATTTGCCTGCCATTTTAGCTTCCAGTTTTTTTTATCCTGCTACATGCCAAACTTGCCACATGCTATCATGAAAATGAGGACCACAATGGAAAAAAGTCGTAGACTTTGTGGTGTTTATCCTCAATGATTCTTAATCAAGTGCATCATTTTGTATGTGTACCTTGTTTTAAATTATATATACACTACCGGTCAAAAGTTTTAGAACACCTACTCATTCAATGGTTTTTTTATTTTTACTATTTTCTATATTGTAGAATAATAGTGAAGACATCAAAACTACGAAATAACACACGCCATAACACCTCCTCCTCCATGCTTTATGGTGGGAAAATACACATGCTGAGATCATCCGTTCACCCACACCGCGTTTCACAAAGACACAACGTTTGAAACCAAAAATCTCAAATTTGAACTCCAGACCAAAGGACACATTTCCACCGGTCTAATGTCCATTGATCATGTTTCTTGGCCCAAGCAAGTCTCTTCTTCTTATTGGTGTCCTTTAGTAGTGGTTTCTTTGCAGCAATTCGACCATGAAGGCCTGATTCACGCAGTCTCCTCTGAACAGTTGATGTTGAGATGTGTCTGCTACTTGAACTCTGTGAAGCATTTGTTTAGGCTGCAATTTCTGAGGCTGGTAACTAATGAACTTATCCTCTGCAGCCGAGGTAACTCTGGGTCTTCCATTCCTGTGGCGGTCCTCATGAGAGCCAGTTTCATCATAGTGCTTGATGGTTTTTCCTCCGGATTGACTGACCTTCATGTCTTAAAGAGATATTTGAGATTCTTCTAGGTGACTACCTCATGAAGGTGGTTGAGAAAATGCCAAGAGTGTGCAAAGCTGTCGTCAAGGCAAAGGATGGCTATTTGAAGAATCTCAAATATAAAATATATTTTGATTTGTTTAACACTTTTTTGGTTACTACATGATTCCATCTGTGTTATTTCATAGTTTTGATGTCTTCACTATTATTCTACAATGTAGAAAATAGTAAAAATAAAGAAAAACCCTTCAATGAATAGGTGTTCTAAAACTTTTGACCGGTACTGTATATAAAGAGAAAGCAGCGTCGCACAATCAGAGATCCATGTCCTTTGATCGCTTGACTACGACTCTAGAACATTATCTCGACAGGACATCATGGTGCTCTGTCGGTCCATTTCAAAGCCAGAGAGAGTAAAAGTTGGAGGATCATTTCAAGCACAGTGTGTGCTGCATATTACACAACCAGTAATGCCAGTGTATGATTGAGAGATCAAACCAGGCGGTAAACCCTCTGTTCATCAGTACACTGAGGGCACTGATTCACAGGGCTGATGTCACATGATGCCTGTTCGTTGTTACATAAATGGTTCAAAATCCTGGTAGAGCTGTCCAGCTTTGGTATCCAATACATCCTAACCTCAGTTTGAATCAATCAGTTACCAATTCAGACACCTGTAATACATTGCAGAATCCTTGCGGTTGATATTCATCTCTTGATTTTGCAAGGGTCAAATGATATACTGTTGGACTTTTTGTCTCTTTAAAAAATCTTGATTAGAAACTCACTTTTGGCCAAATTTTAATTGCCATCTCCAGAGTAGGAGAATTACATGTCTCATTCATTATGGTCAGAAAATCACAATTCTCTGTGTGGCTATAATGTCATGTTTATAACATGCTTATAGATGGGTAATGTATGCTGTATGATATAATGTAAATAATGTTTTACCAAACACTGTAACACGCTAGACCTGACAGATGCCTTTTGAGGACAAGAAGAAGGTGAGTGACTTCCTGATTGGTTTACTTTCGCTGACTGCGTCATTGTTATGATCCCCCCCTGGGAAAATAACACCAAACCAGAGATTATAATAGATTATAGGGAGTGGATCCTTTAATTTCAGCCCAGGCTGGATTAGGCTGATAGTGGCTATTACCTGTGTGGGCACTGATACTAATGTTATTATAATACTTATGAGAGACTAATGGAGGACTTCAAAGCCTTCAACACTGCAGGAAGACACACAGTGACAACAGTGGAGGGTGAGAAATTGGGAAGTTGGCAGCAGCCAGACGATTTGACGAGTAATGAACATTGCTTAAAAACACAATTCATAACAGAGAGAGAAGGGGAGAGAGACGGAGAGAGAGACATTTCAAATGTGGTAAAACTGTCCAACTGAGTTAAACAAAATGTATTTGATTCTTCATGGGTGCTCTGTTTCAGACTTATATTCCCTATATTTACTTTCCCCACTCTATAGTTTATATTAACCCAAGCTGAAGCTTAAGGGGGCTCTCATAAACTGGGAAAGACACTCAACCTTTGGCATCCCATTTGGTCTGTTTTCTCTGAAATGATGGTTGCATAACTACGTAACTCTCCTCTGTGTTTTGTGTGGATCAGGTATGTACATTATGACTATGCAGCCCAATTAATAAAACATGTCACAATCAGGATAGAGCACAGGTGTTCATGCTTGCTAAGCTCGGAGACAATACAGACTCGCCCACTTTCCCAATGTACACTGAGTGGCACTGAGTGAAATATGACTCATGTGATTCATCAAAGTCAGTTGTAGGATATACGAGTCTAAACGTGTGACTGACACATCTACAACATCGTAGTAAGGTTAGTAAACACAAATAACAACATCCTCATTGTAGACATGAAGAAAACGTCCTAAACAAATTAGCTGCACATGATCTTTATAGCCCTAGTGGCATCAAGCTATATAATAGCCACTTTAACCATTTTTTTTTTTTTGTCATTTAGCAGACGCTCTTATCCAGAGTGACTTACAGGAGCAATTAGGGTTAAGCACCTTGCTCAAGGGCACATCGACAGATTTTTCACCTAGTCGGCTCGGGAATTAGAACCAGCGACCTTCCGGTTACTGGCACAATGCTCTTAACCACTAAGCTACCTGCCGCCCAGTGTATATAATGATAACCATTCATTATCATAGGTCACATGGTACTCTTTGTGAGGTCATATTTCCTTATAGTTCTGGAAAACGTTTCCTTATAGTTCTGGAAAACGTAGGATAAATAAATGTTTGTGGCATAATCAGGAAGCAATCTGTCAAATAGCTTATGTATCAATAGCACATTGGATAGTACTTAGAATGTGTAGCCATGGTTGTGTCCCTCCAACATTCAGAGGAATGTGAAAGAGAAGTATCTATTCTTATCCCTCAGGCTCACTTGGTGTTGAAGACAAAGATAAGAGAGAGGGGAAGGGAGTGAGTGAAAAACACATGATAAAAGTCTAAGAAAAGCATTTTGAGAACATGCCACCATTTGTTTGTATGACATATACTATGACAATTGTTAATAACACAACATTTGTATCAATGGTCAGTTAAGGATTAGTATGGATATGTCTTAAAATCTATCTTAAATATGAAAATCTATAACTAACAGAACACACATTGAACTTGTTCTCTTGGAAGTTCTTGGAAGGTCTTTGATCAGTCAAGCACCATCATCATTTTGGCATGTCAGTTGGCATTTGACACCAAAACCTACAACAGCAAACTTGTAATGTCACACTTCAAACACACACATCCGACAATTGACGGAGCCTATCAGGTGCACCGTGCGGAATGAGTCCCGCCCACTCAATATTTATACGCACAATGTCATCTCGCGTTCAGCTTCAGAAGTTGAGTCTGAGAACTTCATCTTGACCAACACTTGTTAGATCCGTGGGAAAATACTTTGAACTACGAGAATATTGCTGAAAATCCTCATATACGTAAGATAATACTCACATTAATGAAATGTACTATTTAAACGAGTTATTACAGTTATAATTTGAAATGCAATATAATTTTTATGTAAAATATGAAAAATGGGTGTAGCTGGAAATATTTTTTTTTTTTTTTACCTTTTCTTTAGTGCTAGAGGTTTCTTTATGCATAGCTTTTAATTGGCCACACATAAAGTGGTTCGTGCACTTTGTATGCACTATTGAAATTATTAGGCTACTGAATAGTGAGGTGAATAATGCACTTGCAGGTGTAGAACAGGCACTCTTGAATATTTATTGCAAAATAACTGTATTTCTTGCATATGTTGATAACATATCCTAATCAATATCCTGATCAAATTAGACAATTGATTTACTTTTCTCTACTTTTTTTATTCTCTGTTTATCACAGGATTACTTGACTGTCTCAATCATTGTTGCCTGGATATCAGTACTAGCCTAAATACCAAAACCTTTTGGAATTTTTCTTCACCGGGAGTTGAACATCGTCCAGGTGGTTTGGGAACCCCCTCCTTCCCAGGGGGTGTGCGTGAGAGAACTCGTCCCGAGATGCGTTCGCTTCTGCCGGTTGCTGTGTATTGCATCAGCCTACTCTCCCTCCAGCAGCTCCTGGCTCTCCCGGTCGCAGACCGTCTGGAGAGAAACAGGTAAGAAGAAAGACATTACATGACTTTCCTATATTGAACGTGCGTTCCAGTTCCTTCTCATTCACTTTCTAAGAGTAATCCTTTCAGGATGTGATGATTATTGAACAAAAATGCTCTTGTGGAGGGCACATTGGACATATGAAAGCGCATGCAATTTCAAGAGGAAATCTGAAGGCATTATTCAAATATAGGCTACATGTAGTCTTATTTTATTCAAGGATTCGGAATATACAGTGATGGGTGAGATGCATTATTATGATATTGTCTATTCTCGAATGTCCAACGACTTTGCCGGTGTTTGGTGAATTGACGTGCGCCTTTTTTTTAGCCTACTGTTTTTTAAATTAAGTCACACGGTCAAACCACAAACCCGTTGAACCAGTTATTATATCATGTTGAGGTTAACGCATTAAAGTACGCTGACGTTTTTGTTCAGTCAGGTGTTGTGTCGGGGAGATAACGGATAGAGAGTAGTAATGGTAAGAGAGTGGTGCTAGCCGGCAAGGTCAGAGAGAGAGACGTGTTACACTAAATGTGCGTTCCCGCTCAGATAACCTGGGGGCTCTGTAGTTATGATATGACCATGTGAAAACGTTTGAGGGGAATCCGTGTTTTTAGAATGGATTGAGAGTTCATCCATGCGCGCTTTGCGCAGTCTCTGGTTTGCACTGCTCTATCCATTGGGCTAGGTCTGTTATGGGATTTAAACACTTATATTGACTTAAAGTTCATGATAATGTAGGCTAATGAGCGCTATCTTATCCATGATCTCTATGTTGGAAAATGGGCACCATGATGAAATTACGCATTTATTCCATCTGCATAATAAAGTGTACTCTTCAGAATTTGTGTTCTTATATGATGCAATTGAATTTAGTCCAAAAACTCAAAACATAGTTAATGGGACAGAGGACAATACGACTGTCATTGCATCATTGTTTCACACTGCTCTACAAACCCAAACTGATGCGCAGGTTAGACGCGTTATTACACACTGTTATGTATTTTATTGAAATATTACCCATGAAGATAAACGTTACATCCAATCTGGCACTATTCATGAAATACTTCCGTACAGTTCGTTATAGGTCCCTAAACAAAAGTGATAGCTACTTGCGTCAGTGTTCAAGGGTAAGGTTAATTGCGCCAAACTAATATACTATCCCCCTAATGTTCCATGTGATTTGATTATCTACTTTATCTGACTATATTTTGGAATGCAACAGATATATGGTTGTGTGTTTGTCTTACAAATTAGGTTTGGTTTTAGTAATTTGTTCAGGCAAATGTATGGTCCTGAAGTTAACAGTATGTTGTGTTAGGAATATGACCTCATGTGGGACATATGATAGCAGAGGTGGAAAAAACAGGCCCCCTCATGTTGACATTTGCTGAATTTCCCCCCGAAATTCCAGGCATTGGCTACTGTACTGTAATACTGTAATGAGTGGCACTTGTATTTTTCCACTCTGCTATTCTTCTGTGTGTGACATGGTAGTAAATCCCAAGATCACAGGGAATTGGTCAATAATACACACGAACACACACACACAATTTCCCATTTCCTATTTCATTGGGTGGGCAGACGTGCCTGTGCAAAGTGAAGGAGAAGTGAACCAGTGAAGACTCCAGTCTCTGGTATGTTTTAGTGCAGTGAGAACTAGAGCAGAGGGTAGAGTCAGTGTCTGCATGCCCTCTTCTGGTGGGAGACTGACAGGAACCTGGACCCTGTCAATGAGAGAAACCAATGAAAACAGATGATTGCCTTCACCCAGAGCCGTGCCTTTACATAGAAATCTGGGATGTTGAAAACTTTAAGAGGAACATTTTCATGTGTTAGTCATTTTTTGGGGCAAATGAAGTGAGGCACTTGGTTGTATCCAGATGTTCCTCTAATGTGGGTTAGCGCTGTAGGACACACTGACAGGTCCTAAAAAATGTCCATGAGTTGTGTTGTTGGCCTGGTAACTCAGACATGATCAACCAAGGGATCTGGAGATGATCATTTGTTGAGTCTTATTCATATTATTACTAGGTCAGTGACCCTACTGTTAACTTGCTGTATATCTGCACTCAGACTCACCATTTTAGGGGCATCAACTTTCAACAGAATTTTTTTTGCTGACATGCATCCATGAATGGACAGGTAAGTCTTTATGGTTTATAATTGAGGTTATTGACATGAGGATGTGGAAAAAGAGGGTTGTTTTTACCCTGCATGACGTAGATTGGATGGCAGGGCTGATTAGGGTGTGCCAGACAATAGTCTCCATATAAGGTGACCCTATTCTGACAGGAGAGCCCCTACGCTGGAGGTTCGGACATAACAATTTAACAGCTTAACCACCTCTGTCTACAGGTGTGTGCGCGTGTGTGTGTCTGCGCATCTGTGTGTGTGTGTGTGTGTGTGTGTTTCACAGAGCATAGACAAACACCTGCTGTTGAAATCAAATTGAAGCAAAGGGAAGCGTGACTCAAACACCTCTCTGTTAATGTCAGTCTGAGCTCCCAGCAGAGATAGGCTATTTCTGCTTCCCAATGGTTGTTATAACATTCATTTCCATTTAAAACAGTAGGGACAGAATTTGTGGGTAATGATGGATGGGATTGCGGTTGCAACAGTGCTCTCTATCAGTGTATTTGAGTGAACACAGCAGCGTTTCAAAAACAAACAGTTCAATAAGAGGGAGTCTGTTTGTCCTTTCCAAGCTGTGGTTGTGTGAGGGGTTATCGTTCCTCGTAATCCCCTCTGGATGTTCCCTTGGTGATGGAAGGGAGATTCATAATGTCCTCCCTCTATTTCCTCACTCTCTCTCCAATTCTGGTGTCTCTCTTCTCTCTCATCTTGAATGTGGGTTGCCCTCTCTATAATGTGGTTTCTCTCTCCTCTCTAAGGCTGGTTTCTCTCTTCTTAATGCTAGTTTCTCTCTCCCTCTTTAAGGATGGGTTCTCTCCCTCTTAATGCGGTTCTCTCTCCCTCTCTAAGGCTGGTTTCTCTCTCTCTCTAATGCTAGTTTCTCTCTCCCTCTCTAATGCTGGTTTCTCTCTCCCTCTCTAATGCTGGTTTCTCTCTCTATCTCTAATGCTGGTTTATCTCTCCCTCTCTAATGCTGGTTTCTCTCTCTCTCCCTCTCTAATGCTGGTGTCTCTCTCCCTCTCTAATGCTGGTGTCTCTCTCCCTCTCTAATGGTGGTGTCTCTCTCCCTCTCTAATGCTGGTGTCTCTCTTCCTCTCTAATGCTGGTTTCTCTCTCCCTCTCTAATACTGGTTTCTCTCTCCCTCTCTAATGCTGATTTCTCTCTCTCTCTCAAATGCTGGTGTCTCTCATTCTCGAATGCTGGTGTCTCTCTCCCTCTCTAATGCTGGTGTCTCTCTCTCTCTCTAAGGCTGGTTTCTCTCTCTCTCTAATGCTAGTTTCTCTCTCCCTCTCTAAGGCTGGTTTCTCACTCCCTCTCTAATGCTGGTTTCTCTCTCCCTCTCTAATGCTGGTTTCTCTCTCCCTCTCTAATGCTGGTTTCTCTCTCCCTCTCTAATGCTGGTTTCTCTCTCCCTCTCTAATGCTGTTGTCTCTCTCCCTCTCTAATGCTGGTGTCTCTCTTCCCCTCTCTAATGCTGGTGTCTTTCTCCCTCTCTAATGCTGGTGTCTCTCTCCCTCTCTAATGCTGGTGTCTCTCTCCCTCTCTAATGCTGGTGTCTCTCTCCCTCTCTAATGCTGGTGTCTCTCCCTCTCTAATGCTGGTGTCTCTTTCCCTCTCTAATGCTGGTGTCTCTTGCCCTCTCTAATGCTGGTGTCTCTCTCCCTCTCTAATGCTGGTGTCTCTCTCCCTCTCTAATGCTGGTGTCTCTCTCCCTCTCTAATGCTGGTGTCTCTCTCTCTAATGATGGTTTCTCTCTCTCTCTCTAATGCGGGTCTCTCTCCCTCTCTAATGCTGGTTTCTCTCTCCCTCTCTAATGCTGGTGTCTCTCTCCCTCTCTAATGCTGGTGTCTCTCTCCCTCTCTAATGCTGGTGTCTCTCTCCCTCTGTAATGCTGGTGTCTCTCTCCCTCTCTAATGCTGGTGTCTGTCTCCCTCTCTAATGCTGGTGTCTGTCTCCCTCTCTAATGCTGGTGTCTCTCTCCCTCTCTAATGCTGGTGTCTCTCTCCCTCTCTAATGCTGGTGTCTCTCTCCCTCTCTAATGCTGGTGTCTCTCTCCCTCTCTAATGCTGGTGTCTCTCTCCCTCTCTAATGCTGGTGTCTCTTGCCCTCTCTAATGCTGGTGTCTCTCTCCCTCCTCTAATGCTGGTGTCTCTCTCCCTCTCTAATGCTGGTGTCTCTCTCCCTCTCTAATGCTGGTGTCTCTCCCTCTCAAATGCTGGTGTCTCTCTCCCTCTCTAATGCTGGTTTCTCTCTCTGCCTTCTTCCCTCCTTTTATCTATTTATTTACTCAGTAAATGTCCCACTTTTTCTTCCCTCCAAACCAAACGGTCTGTTCTTCCCATCACACATGATGATCCCATCACAGGCTAATAACAATAACACAGGCCTCATTGCTCCGACTCTCATTCCCCTTTTCAGACTGAGGTGTGATGTCCTGATCATGGACGGCCCGCGGGCCTTGTGTTTTGACACCCCTGCTCTAGGCCATTCACAATACAAACTATACCCTTATAATACGCCATTTAGCAGACGCTTTTATCCAAAGTGACTTACAGTCATGCGTGCATACATTTCGAACCCACTACCTTGGCGTTACAAGCGCCGTGCTCTACCAGCTGAGCTACAGAGGACCTTCATTTTACATACAGTAACAACTTGAGAGAAAATAGTTGAAGGTCAGAGCCAAACCACAAGTTAAATATGGCTTTAGAGATGAAGCAGCTTTACATTGTGGATTCCAGTAGTGGGATGCAGGGTGCCCCAGAGAGAGGCGTGTTACTGCACTTGTTGCCGTGATGACCCTCACTGCTTCCACACAGTCTGGGTCAGAGGTCAACGACATGATATGACATGTCAGACATCCCAGACAGGATGCACGCATCACAGTTTGTGTATTGAGAGTTTGTGTATTGAGCGTGTGGAAGTGTAAAGTGTATTATTTTTAGAAAGATGGACTGTGTATGTGTAGCCTCCTGGTCTGGCCATGTGTATTTGAGTCTGTGTGTATTTGAGTCTGTGTGTATTTGAGTCTGTGTGTATTGTGGGCATGAGTTTGCTCAGGATCCTTACTGGACAGAAAACCCCCAATGATTTTCCCGTCTGTCCATCCTCCTCCTAAATCATTAACTCCTTCTGTCTCCCCATATGGGACCAGCATCAGGGCCAGGACCCTTGCCTGCAATTCAGATGTCAACACCCATCCATAGTCCAAACACAATATTTACCCCAGAAACAGGCACATTGCATCATCATCCACCACCCAGAGGACATACTGTTGTCTTCTGAGGAATATATCAGATGCTCTTTGCATCCATTAGATGGTGATAGATTTTATAACTCTATATACAGTAACTTTATATAGATTTATAGACGTTTATACAATATCAAAGACACAACATGAACATTACCTTGACTAATATGGCTCATAAATACCTAAACTTTACGTGAGTTATCTCTTATATGTACTTGTAATACACTTTGCATGCTTCACGGTCTGATATAACCGCGTAGATCGCTATGTGAGAGGCAGTATGTATGGCTCTGAGGTTAGACCTCTGCTCTGAGGACGTATGGCTGCTCTGATGTGGGCCACACTGTAAACAGAAGCCTGGACTGCCGATGTATGGAGATGTACTGTCTCCCTCTCTGTATCTACCACATAAACACTGCCATGCCCCTCCCTCTCTCTCTCCCACTCTCTCGCTCTCTCTCTTTCTCCTTCTCTCTCTCTGTGCTCCGTGGGGGTCATTGCGACCAGGCCTAAAGAGAAGAGAGAACTAGTCTCCCGCCAGGCAGCTCAGAATTCCACAGTGGATTAGTGTCTAAGACCTAAATTCCACATCCATGAAGAACATGCTTCCACTCTGCACTGAAAGCCTGAACATGGCGAAAGGCTTGTGTGTGTGTGTATGTATGTATGTTTGTATGTATGCATTAGGGTTGTCACGATGCCAGTATCGTGATACTACAATACCAGATTTTCCAATAAACAAATGTGACTCTAGGTGACAACATAATGCTGTTTGATTCTAATATTAGGACTGTTTTCCTCAAGAAATTAAATCTGCTTCGTGGTTTGTTTCCTTGCCACGATACTTCTGGCTATCGCGATACTGGAATCGTGACAACCCTTGTACAGTATGTCTGTCTGTCTGTGTGTGTGTATACTGTAAGTGTTAAAGAAGTAACACAGGATAAAGGCAGAAGAATGAACACAGATGGAGCTCTGAGGTCTGAGGAGAGAAGGACTAAGCTCTTGTTTCATATTCTGTTGGTGGTTGAGAACAATTTAGGTGCTATACTAGCTAAGTACAGTCATTTGTAGCGTAGATGGATACCTACATTACCGATGGAGAGCAGGCCTCAATCAGGAGTCAGCACTGCAGCTGTGAGTGACTGCCTCAGTCCAATTGGAACGTGGAACTGCAACCACTGTGGGGTTTGAAGTCCGTCTCCCAATTCCTTAACCACTACACACTTAAGTCTCCTGCGGGGAACAAGAGAGAATAGAGAGAAAGTGATGAGTCTCCTTTCGGTTTCTGGATACGTGGCAGTCGTTCTTTCAAGCCATGGACTTTAGCAACTGTGTACACTTTCACCCAATCCAGTGCATTATGAGGAAAGTGCTAAATCACCCCTCTTAGCACGTACTTATCATCAACACAAGAGGTTATAAAAACACCAACGCATGGAGAACAAGCGGCAGCAATGGTTCATTCACAAATAAATCGCCTTTCGCTTATTTCTGTCTCCTTACTGAGAACACAATCTGTCCTCTGTTAGCTGCATGGGGCCTGGCGAGGATTATGTATGAATGTGCCACATTTACTGCTGATTACGACAGCCCATGGTAGGCCCCTGGGTATAAGCATGTATGAAGGGCCTGGTACTGGCCAAGGCTTACCCCTCTCTGAGGGGGCCTTACTGGGGCAGAGGAGGGCATCAGGCTGGGGCTGGTGGGACAATGGGCGATTCCACACCAGTGGGAGTGTAACATATTTTTGGTATCTCAGATTGTTTTGACAATTCTCACATTGAAACTTCATTGGGGCAAGGATGTTTGAAATGCTTTTCACATTTGTATCACAAGCAATGTTTGAGAAAATCATGATGAAAGTAGCCATTTTAGGCCCTTTTTAGACCTATACATGCCTCCTATAAGACCCTATGATCCGTGAACCGTACATGATACAGACAACATCTTGGTGTCATTATACTCCTTATAGTGTTCTCTAAAATATGGGGTATATCTTGATTCTGAAATAAAAAATGTCACATTAATTTATTCAACATTAAAATATGAATATGAATAGCTCAAAACTACCCTTTTGGATTTTTTTCATTTAAAGACATTGTTTGGAACAATATACTCTATAAGTGAATAACATTTCCAGTGTGGGCTCTCTGCTCATTCTGAAGGTACGATCAATTTTATGAGCACCACCAACACAGTGAATGGGAAAATGGATTCAAAGGGAACTCCCTCTGCTGGTGACTTGCTGAATGTGCAATCCTAAAGGAGGGCTGTAATTGGTTAATGACCTATCAGGTAAATTTATATGTATAAAATGGGTAATATCATTAAAAGTACCAGAGAGCCCACTCTGGAAATGTTACGTGTTTGAAGAGAATGTCTAAAAAGGATAGTTTTGAGATTAATATTAATATTTGTAATGTTGAATAAATGAATGTCAAAATGTGTATTTCAGAGAGAACACTATAAGGAGTATAATGACATCAATATGTTGTCTGTACTATGAACAGTTCACAGATCATAGGGTCTTACAGGAGGCATGTATACTAAAAAGGGTATAAAATGGCCAATTTCATCATGATTTTCAAAAAAATGGCTTGTGATAGAAATGTTACAAACATGTTAAACATTCTTCCTCCCAATCAAATGTATATGTGAGAATTGCCAGAACAATCTGAGATACCTAATTGCTCCTGGAAGTAACTCTGGATAAGAGCGTCCGCTAAATGAATAAAATGTAAATGTAAATACCACAAAAAAAATCTGCTCCCGCTGGCGTGGAATCACCCTATTGTTGTGGTTCCACTGGTGGGTCTCAGTTGTGATTCCAGACCTTAACCTCAGTCTAAACTGTGGGAGTAATACGAAAGAATAACCCCACACTGCAGCACAAAGGAGTTGGGATCATCTTACCCTTTTATCGAACCCTCAAATCCCTCCTCCCTCCGCCCCTTCCCCGGCTAAGTGACTTTTAGCTTAATGCCCTCTGATAAAATGTGACTTTTACAGAACAAGTAGGTGGATTTGTTACCAATATATTTAAAAAAAATAATCTTCCACATATCAGATGGTGCTCAAAACAAATGTTGAGTGAGTGAATGTTTCCAAGAATGTGTAGCTCTGATATCTTTGATCCCCTGCCAATCACAAAGACCTCCATTACTGTCAATTTGCAGGATTACTTTCTCAATAGCCAAATTAGACGGGCTGTCAGATCAGATGTGATCCAGTGAGAGAGTTCCCACGTTGGGCCGGCCTACAGTACATGGTGCTGTTGCCTTCTCCTGGCTGTGGGCTAGAGCACGGTGGCCAAAAGGCTTATTGTGGGATCAGAAGAACATCCCAACGAAACTGGAGAGGAGCATGTGCACTGGGCACACTCACTTACAGTCACACCTCCGGTCCAAAGTCTTTGGCCAAAACGCTCCCCTCAGATCCATCCGATCTCTCTGGAACAGACACATACAAATGAGTCCTGGCTGTACCTAGGGACAAAACAGACAAGTTCACATTTGCTTGTGAAGCCATTATATAAAAGTCTAAGGGCATCAGCGTCAGGTGAAGGTAAAGCGGTCAGGTCAGAGGGTGTAACAGAGAAGAGAGGAGGACAAAAGGACATGGGAAGAACTCGCTGGGTGGGAGGCGAACCCCACAGAAACCCAAACACGTTTAACCTCCTTTAAACAGCAGACTCGCTCTTTCTTTCTTTTTTCTCCTTCTCCGCCTCCCTCCAGTTACTAATTCGCCAAGAAAATTATTTTTTAACTACATCACAGGGTCTTTATGGCTGTCTGCCAGCCCAGAATAGCCTGACTAGCGAAGCGGCCATCGTCTGACTGCGTTGGGTCGGGCTCGGGGTGACATGGTGTGTTATGGGAGATTCCAGTGCTGAGTGAGCCACAAAGTCCACTACTGCTCCACCAGGGGTGGATGAGGGCATGTTAAATGGGCATTAAAACACACACAAAGACACACACAAACAAACGACTTGGTCGATGGGGTGGATTGGGACTGACACAATGTCTTAGAGCAGCAGGGAGACTAGAGTTTTGCAAGGTCAAACATTTGTTGACGTGCCCTTGAGCAAGGCACTTAACCCTAATTTGCTCCAGGGGTACCATACTACTATGGCTGACCCTGTAAAACAACACATTTGACTGCACCTATCCGGTGTACAGTAAAACATATATCAATTGTTTTTTACAGATGTGAAGCTGGGTACAGCACACCCACTGGGCACAGATCTATTCCACTTTGGTTCAACGTCATTTCATTGAATTGATGTGGATACAACGTTGATTCAACCAGTGTGTGCCCAGTGGGCATTGTTTGGCACTGGCAGTCTGCACACCGCATCAGACCTGTTTTTGTCCCCTGATCCAGGGGTTAAATTAAGCTGTTCTGTAGCGGTTTCACCTTTCTTTTGTTTATTCACCATCTCTTCTTTCCTAACGGATTAAGTTTCTTCCTTCCTCATGTGTGAGAAACACATTTTCCACCATGGATTCGAAACACAAAAGAAGAATGAGCCTGTACAGAAGATTGTATTTCAGCCTTTTTGTGTAAAGAAAGGTCAACTAAATAAAAATGTACTGTAATGAATATAGACTATCCAAATCTATATAACAACCACATTGCAGTATTTATGCGGTATATAAATGTAGCTTTTTCGACGCAGTCAAATACAATTTGTGCCTGTCTGGCAGCCTGGTGTTTGGCACAGAAGGTGGGTGTGACTTTGCATTGCCATGGCAACAGGACAGAGCTGAATGACTAGGTGCTCCTGGAAATAGTGCTCCCTCTGTACTACCACAGTGGTTACCAGTGACACCCACCATCACCAGGCACCAGGGCCCTGCCCTGTACGGGCAAACAGGCTGGATGGCAGGGAGACACAGGTGGTGACAAAGCTCTTTCAGTGTTTTCTTTGTGGTGGAACTGCTGGAATAGCATTATATTTTAGCTTGTAAAGTAGCTAGATTGGCTAGTTACATTGGGCTGCAAGCCCGCAACTCCCTTTGAGGTTAAATTGGTTGAACAAACCCATACAGGTTCATTGTCATGTTTGTAGGGTATTTTCCAGAGAAGAATGTTTAACTTCAGAATTTTGACCACGAACAACATGTTAGGCAGCTTCATACATTTACATTACATTTACGTCATTTAGCAGACGCTCTTATCCAGAGCGACTTACAACACCACCCTGCATACCCTGCTGACTTGCCTCTGAAGCTAAGCAGGGTTGGTCCCTGGATGGGAGACCAGATGCTGCTGGAAGTGGTGTTGGAGGGCCAGTAGGAGGCACTCTTTCCTCTGGTCAAAAAAAATATTCCAATGCCCCAGGGCAGTATTTGGGGACATTGCCCTGTGTAGGGTGCTGGCTTTTGGATGGGACGTTAAACAGGTCACCTGACTCTTTGTGGTCACTAAAGATCCCATGTCACTTATCGTAAGAGTAGGGGTGTTAACCCTGGTGTCCTGGCTAAATTCCCAAACTGGCCATCATACCATCATGGCCACCTAATCATCACCAGCTTCCAATTGGCTCATTCATCCCCCCTCCTCTCCCCTGTAACTATTCCCCAGATCGTTGATGTAAATGAGAATGTGTTCTCAGTCAACTTACCTGGTAAAAGAAGGAATAAATAAAGGCAAGAGCCTGGCCAAGGCACTGAACACATGAACTAAGAGACCGTCTTTAGGAGGCAGAGAAGGTTTTGGAACCCTGTTCATTAATATGGCCACTTCTCACTGTGTCTGTACAGAGATTGGTTGGTTACCACTGGCATAGTGGCATTCTATAGTAGGCCTACCCTGTTATTTCTCACATTCCAGTCAGCGTTTCACAAGGAGAACGCTGCTCTTTTTTATAATTACGCTGTATGCCAACTATCATTACTGCTTCTCCTAAAGAGCAGTTGGAAGCCGGTCAGAACCTGATGCTGTGGAAATGTTTCTATGCTCTTTAAAATAGAGAAAGTATACAAAAGGGACATTTTCTCTTCCTTGTTCTAACTTTATCATGGGAGGACATTTAGCACACAAAGGTCATACTTAATACTTCAAAGAATTGAGGCTTGATATACCTACACCCACTGGCGCCATTTTGAGAATCGAATTCCCTGACTCACTGCGGCCAGTGCTTGGCCAATATGACTTCCGCCAGGTGCATGAGCCTCTACCTCTTTAGAGCATCTGTAACGAACTAAGACACAGAGACACAAATTAGAGCCCTCTGAGCAAACACACCCACAACTGTTCAGAGAAAAGCATCCCCAGTGCCAAGTTTAAGTTGAGCAGCCGGTGTCATCGTCAAAAAGAGAACAGATGGCAGGGTCTCCTCATTCTCAGCACTAAAGCCAGAGTCAATCTGAGCTGTGTTTGCTAAACATGTTCCTGAAACTTAGTGATGCCTCCGTCCTGTGGACACTGGCCACAGCTTGCTCTGTACATTAGCCTTCCCTCTCTTGAGTGGGTAGTCAGTAAATCTCCTGAGCCACTCTGTCTGTTTGCTTTCGCTAAGGTGGACATGGAGTCTCAATAGTTGTGACGTCCAGTATGTTACCATGTAATAAATGGGCAGCAGCCAGGTCCCCATGCTGTTTTGTTCCTGTGCTGAAAGGCCATTAGTCTTCTCAAATGCAATAAGACAGGATGGTGACACATCAACACTCACCATGCCCATTCCATGTGGGTAACGTTTACTGTCAGTGTGTGTCGACATAAAATGCTGTTGGAAGTGTGCTTAACAACAGTCTGATAACAACTAGGCCAGTTCTAAAATTAGTTCTCTGATTCAATGGTCAGCATTGACCCACAGTGGAAATATACAGACATCAATCTTGACGTATCAATATCTGAACTTTGTCTTATTTTTTCCTGTGTTCCCAGGTTGGAGCTGCTTAAGAAGCTTCATGCGCTGAGAGAGGAGGAGATCTTCACTCCAAAAACTGGCACCAAACTCGCCAGCCCAACAGACTCCAGCCCTTCATCAGACCTCCAGCCCTCCATCAAATGGCTATCTGGCTACCTCCTCAGAGACACACCACCCACTGTCATGAACACAGCCCATCTTGAAGCTCTGGTATGGGCGAGGGGTGAGGAAGGCGTGGAGCCCCAACGGACGGGGTCAAGAGGTCGTCGTCATGCCCACTCAGGGTTGCGGGGGGGTTCCCCACCGCCCACAGCTGATGAGAGTGGGGTGCGCCCTGGGAACCTGCCAGGTTCAGAACCTCAGCCACCGGCTCTATCAGCTGATTGGCCAGAGCGGACGGGAAGACTCCTCCCCCATTAACCCCCGGAGTCCGCATAGTTACGGATGAGCAACGGACGGATACTTTTCTCTCTCTTCTCTGAAAACATAAACACCCCAGCAAACCTATATCTATAGACATGTATCTCTATTTTACGTATCACAGATAGCCTTTGCATTAATGTTAGATGTAGTCCATAAATTTTTTAGATCCTGAAATGTCAATTTCTGTACTTTTTGAATGACATTTGCCTTACTCCTCTGTACGCCTCAAAAACGCATCATGCTGTTTAAGTAGAAGGAATCTGACATGAATGAAAGCCTCTTAGTCGACACTTCCCACCACCAACCACCCCTGGGAACGAAACCTGTCACCCATAGATCCTCTGGACATTTGGGCCTCGTCAAAGTCTTTGTGTTTCTCCCGGCCTCCTGACTAGCCAAAGAGCTGCAAGGGGCTCAGTTTGACGTTCTAATCCTGTTAATGTAAGAATAAATGCCCCCGTCCACCGGTCTTTCTCCTTAACACAAGCCAGCGCAACTGGACGTGTCTGTATAATGCCTGATGACCTCCACAGCAGCAGTTAGCTCTGGCCCCATTGATCAAACACTTAAGCCTCTAATGTGGATTTCTACCAGGGCTAGGATCGGATCCCTGTCAGAGCGAATATATTCCTGAAGACCCGTCAAAACAACCCGATGAACCCTTTTACCCCAGAGCCCCCTAACACCCTAAACCCTGCCCCTTTAGATCTGCCAGGACAATTTGAGGGACCATGTTTGACATATCTGGGGTAAGCCTCTGATTTACAGACCACCAGCAACCATTTATGGGCAGACACAGACACTGACCTTACAGACAAGAACCTACTGTAAGTTCTCTGTCATCTGCAGCCAATGGTGTTCCCGACAGAAGCTGTCTGTGGTTCTGTGAAGGAGATGTTTCAGCAGACCACAGCCTTGACAGCCGCATTCAGCCATAATAGTCAAGTTCTGTTCAGCAGTGGCTGGATGGAGTTCTGCTTCTGGACTCGTCTAGTAGAGACTGTTTATAGAAAGAGAAAGAAGAGGGTCAACATTTCAATGACTCAGCTCCTATACAAGATGGAGGTTTTCAATGTTTTTATTATGAATCATTGTGGATCTATTTCAGCATTGAGATCTATTGGTTGGCTCGTGAACACAGTGAACACTCCTGCTGCCCTTATCCCAGGGGCTGAGTGTGAAATATTATCCCCTCCACCTGATTCTTAAGTTCTCCCTCTAAGTCTCGACTTTAAGTTTACAGCAATTTAATCAATCAGACCTAATCTCTTTAGTTGTACCGCCATGGTGGTGAGGCGGCAAACACACCAACTCTACCAGACTTAGGCCATCGTCTGCTGTATTTATAAACAAAAGAATCCTTGACCGTGCCTTGCCCAGGGGACCATATAATTACTAGCTAAACCATCACAACTTGCCAACCCAAACCCAAAATCTGCCACTAACAGTACTGCCTAGGAATATTGTCGTTATGAATAATAATCAGGTCCGTTATGAATACTTAGATCCTAAAAATGCTAGTAGTTTAGTGTGTATAAAACAACACTTTACGCTGTATGCTTGTAGTTTGTCAAATGAGTCTAAATTAGCACAGAGTCAACAGCAAAGTGCTCTGCTGTTACGTTGTGGCTTTGTAATGACAGACCACAGAGACCAAGTTAGGGAGACAGAGTGCCACATTTTAAATCTGTATACGAAATACCATAAAAAAATACATGTCCTGAGATCCCCTTTTTCCCTTGTTATAACTGTCTCTGAAATGGTGGGCGGATGCCCTCACTAAAAATAACTAAAAACAACCTCAACTCAGCAAGCATACAAAAAACTAGACCAACCTTCAAAAGGTGCAGAGTCTGTCGATCTGAAAAATCAAGCCACAACATTTCCATGACATAATGCCCATAATAATCATGCGGCCTGGCTCTTTGAAACACATAAAAATGTTTCATATTCTCAATGTCAGAGGATTAGAATAGTTGAAATAATCCTCAACGTTCAGACTATTAGTTTTCTAATATCTTTGATCTAAACTTTCTGATGTTGTTATTATTGCAGTTAGAAACCAGGTCAGCAATTAGTCATACATTCATGTATTTATGCTCACAACGACTATGTAACTATTAGGTTACTGTGTCATACTTATACAATCACAGGAGTACCCAAAATTAGCTTAGAGACTTTTAGGGTCCACGTTTTTACTGTTTTGTTTTGACCACAGCGTTGCCTCAATCAAATAATGATACAACTAATTAAGTTATAATTCTACAACGAATTAAGTTAGTTGGGCAAGTGGTTTAAATTCACCAAATATCTGACAATACTTGACAGTCATTTTCTTTTTTTGTGATCTACATACTATAATGTGCTGTTATATTCCTCTATCCATATTCCCCTTTCATTTTGTCTTGCTTCTTTTTGTGTTTTTGGACTGAATCATCTTAATCGAAAGTGGGACTTTAGTTTATTTTAGATTTCGCTCATTTAATCGTAGAATGATTCTCTGTCTCACTCTCTCTATCTCTCCATCTCTCCCTCTACCACTCTCTCTCTCCTATCTCAGTAATTATGGCGACGCCAGGTCGCAGGTCATAATCAGTGGTTCATTGGTTCTTTAAGTCTAATCTGTTCAAAGGCTTTGTGAAACACACATGCCATTCTCTGCTGTAATGGAGCTAATCAGTGTCTCGTGACAGTTCATTAAAAGGCTTTTCAAACGCTAAGAACCCTGGTGAATCTCTCAACTTTCTACCCACCACTGTCACAGGTGTGTGTTTGTGTCTGACCTGCCACATATAGTATCAGGAACCAACCTTGTGTTTGTTGGATTTTTGTTGTAGCCATTTTGTTTTTGCTATACTTTGTCTTTGTATTGTGAATCTTATGTGACGGTAATTACACGTCAGCGTTGTGTCACTGGCGGGTCCGTAACCTTTCCTAGCAGCATAGCTGAGTGTTTTGTTTGGGTAAACTTGCGTAGCACCAGATTATTTACGACCTTTGACCACTAATACCTCCCCTTGTGTGCTGCGAGAAACACTCTCCATCAGTCTTACATCAAAACTAACACTGCCATCGCCTGCCATTGTTAACTTAACCTACGTTGTAAAGAGATGCAGGAGTGTGTTGTGTGCTCTGAGTGGAAGTGCTCAAGTCTGTATGTGAGTGTGTATGTGTAGGTATGTGTAGGTACTTATAGTATAATCCTAGCCAGGGATCTAACACATCACAATCCCAGTCTGTTTTTCCTCATTCAATATTTAATTATACTTAAGGTCAGAAGCCTATTTTAGGGTCACAGCAAACTGAGCAAAGCACTTTAAGGTTGTTAGTTCCTCACAACTTGAATTTCAAACGTTGCAATTATATTTTTTATGACAGATGAGAGTTTTATTGTATATATTGCATTTGATAAAGATCTGTATGAATGTCTTTGAAGAGTTGTCAGTGGAGTGGAGTGAAGATGATTGAAAATATCATGCGCACGTGTGCATATTATATATTATTAGTGGTACTATTTAAGAAAAGTAATGTATTTAAGTTATCTTTGTATGTTTATATATGTATGTCACCAAAGACACTATTTATCTCGTATTTTCCACGCTCCTAAAAAGTGACATTTTGTTAGGAAAAAAAAAAAATCCTAATTGTAGTTAAATGTTCATGTCAGACAATGTATTTCATTCTCTGTAAAATAAAGAACTACACTGTAGTGAGATAAAGTCTAGTGTATGCCTCTAATTTGTGAAAGTGTGTGTGTGCGTGCGTGTGTATGCATGTTTACCTTCACGTGTGTGTGAGTACATTATGAGCAACTCTTCACAACAGCTATTGTTAACAACATCGATGCCATTGTCAAAATGAATTAAGTCTACTCTCTACAGAATTATACAAACATTAGAAAACCTGACAGTTGCCAGTGCTCATCAATATTACTACATCTTAAAATAAATATAACTAGAGGTACCAAGAACATACATATTACTCAATATTTCCTTCAAGAAACAGAAATATCTGAAAAAACACCCATTCCTGGAATCTGGTAAACCTGGGCAAAGGTGGCATCATAGTGTAAAAGTGACCATGTCCTTCACCATGTCCTTCACTCTACTACTACTAGCAGCTAGTTAATCATTATTAAATGGAGCAAAATCCATACTGTACAACACATGATTCAGATTCATGTAATACCGGGAAGGTTGTGCCTACCACGGAGAGTTAATGAGTAACTAGAGGGCACATGCAGAGTCAGACACATTACTGGACTGTCCGCCAACCTAGAGGCAGCTGGTTGGTGGTCAAGGAGGGTGTGGGGAAAGGGGAAGAGGGGGACTAGTTCTACCACTGAACCAGAGAAATCCAAACCTTTACAGAGTGCAGGACACCCGACCACGCCCACAGACTATTCAGAGTATGTGTGACATCCGAGGAGTACTTACAGTATGTTACAGCCGTCTTTCCTGATATGAGTTCCCATGTCAGCTAAAACTGTGTCACACACATCAAGAGTCCCCGGATTCGTGGAGATCAAGTCACATGACTTGTGGAATCTTAACTTGGGAGACGGTGTGTGTCTGTGTGTGTGTTTAAACTTACAAGGGTGTTGCATCATACACAAATGCCTAAATGGTGACAGAGATCTACTGGACCTGCATCAGAGATATCAAGTCTGCAGCACCCCAGTCCAGTCCAGTACATTGCCCTGATACATCCAAGATGTCTTTCTGGGTTTCTACAGTGGCTTGCGAAAGTATTCACCGCCCTTGGCATTTTTCCTATTTTGTTGACTTATAACCTGGAATTAAAATTGTTTTTTTGGGGGGGTTGTATCATTTGATTAACACAACATGCCTACCACTTTGAAGATGCAAAATATGTTTTATTGTGAAACAAGAAATAAGACAAAAAAACAGAAAACTTGAGCGTGCATAACTATTCCTCCCCCCCCCCCCCCTGCTGGAAGGTGAACCTCCGTCCCAGTCTCAAATCTCTGGAAGACTGAAACAGGTTTCCCTCCAGAATTTCTCTGTATTTAGCGCCATCCATCATTCCTTCAATTCTGACCAGTTTCCCAGTCTCTGCCGATGAAAAACATCGGTGTTTTCAGGGTGATGAGAGGTGTTGGGTTTGCGCCAGACGTAGCGTTTTCCTTGATGGCCAAAAAGCTCAATTTTAGTCTCATCTGACCAGAGTACCTTCTTCCATATGTTTGGGGAGTCTCCCACATGGCTTTTGGTGAACAACAAATGTGTTTGCTTATTTCTTTCTTTAAGCAATGGCTTTTTTTCTGGCCACTCTTCCGTAAAGCCCAGCTCTGTGGAGTGTACGGCTTAAAGTGGTCCTATGGACAGATACTCCAATCTCTGCTGTGGAGCTTTGCAGCTCCTTCAGGGTTATCTTTGGTCTCTTTATTGCCTCTCTGATTAATGTCACGCTCTGGCTCCGGGACTGTGTATTGTGAGCCAGGGTGTGTTCATTTGGTTGTGTTGTTTTGGTTGTGTTTCATTGTTTGGTCCAGTGACTCCCAATCAGTGGTAACGAGTGTCAGCTGTCGGCTCGTTATCTCTGATTGGGAGCCATATTTAAACTGTCATTGTTCACCTTGGGGTTGTGGGTTTTTGTTCCTTGTCAGTCATTGTAACGGAGGACTTCACGTTTCGTCATTGTTTGTTGTTTTCGTGTTTCGGCTTTAATTTAATAAAGTCATGTTCACCTTCAACGCTGCGCATTGGTCCTCCTCATTAGACGATCGTGACAGAAAAACCCACCAAGATGGGACCAAGCAGCGTGTCCAGGAGCCGTCGCCAGGGAGATCCCTCACAGATCTCCTTCGCCTCCTGGACTGGGTCAAGCCGAGTGAGGAGGAGAAGGGCTTGACACTATGGCAGAAGGGCGAGAGGCTGGCGAGCAATATGGAGACCTGGTCCACGGGTAGGAGAGACGCCCCGAAAATTTTTAGGGGGGGGCTCACGACGTCGGACCAGCAGGAGGCCGCGATAGAGCGGCCCAGTGGGTTGCCGGAGAAGGCCGCCGGGTTACGGGGGCCACTGGTCGAAGAGGGGATGGAGAAAGTAGAGGCACGGCGAGAGGTACTGGCGTGTGTTGCCAGTCCGGTCCGGCCCGTTCCAGATCCCGGTGTAGGACCAGTGGTGTGTGTCCCCAGTACAGTCCGGCCCATCCAAGCGTCCCGCACCAAGCCAGTGGTGTGCGTCGTCAGCCCGGCTCTGCCCGTGCCTGCTCTCCGCATCAAGCCTGTGGTGCGTCTCGTCAGCCCGGCTCTGCCCGTTCCTGCTCTCCGCACCAGGTCTGTGGTGCACGTCGCCAGCCCAGTCCGGCCCATTCCTGCTACTCGCAACAAGCCAAGGGTGCGAGTCGTCAGCCGGATTCAGCCCATTCCTGCTACTCGCACCAAGCCAAGGGTGCGAGTCGTCAGCCGGATTCAGCCCATTCCTGCTACTCGCACCAAGCCAAGGGTGCGAGTCGTCAGCCGGATTCAGCCCATTCCTGCTACTCGCACCAAGCCAAGGGTGCGAGTCGTCAGCCGGATTCAGCCCATTCCTGCTACTCGCACCAAGCCAAGGGTGCGAGTCGTCAGCCGGATTCAGCCCATTCCTGCTACTCGCACCAAGCCAAGGGTGCGAGTCGTCAGCCGGATTCAGCCCATTCCTGCTACTCGCACCAAGCCAAGGGAACCCTGGTCTGTTATTGCTCCCAGTCCCCATTCCTGCTACTCGCACCAAGCCAAGGGTGCGAGTCGTCAGCCGGATTCAGCCCATTCCTGCTACTCGCACCAAGCCAGGGATGCGAGTCTTCAGCCTGGTGAGGCCTGTTCCGGCTCCACGCACCATGCAAAGGGTGCGTATCGTCTGCCAGGTCCGGTCCAGTCCTGCCTCACGCGCCAAGCCAGGGGTGCGCGTCGGCAGTCCTGATCCAGCTAACTGGGTCAGATCGGACTGGGGGTACTACGGGGGGATTGTAATAGGGTGGTGGTCAAGCCCGGAGCCGGAGCCGCCTCCGAGGAACAATACCCACCCAGCCCTTCCCTATTTGGGGTGTAGGCGCGGTCGGAGTCCGCGCCTTTAGGGGGGGGTACTGTCACGCTCTGGCTCCGGGACTGTGTATTGTGAGCCAGGGTGTGTTCATTTGGTTGTGTTGTTTTGGTTGTGTTTCATTGTTTGGTCCAGTGACTCCCAATCAGTGGTAACGAGTGTCAGCTGTCGGCTCGTTATCTCTGATTGGGA